GTGGAGAGAGGCACTCAGCACCCCAGTCGGCGCAGGGACCCTGACAGTGACTACGCCTCACTGGGCCTCTGTTTTCTCATCTGTAAACTGGGACGACAGTAGCTGTTGTAAAGATCGAGCACATGGATGAATGTGCGTCCTTGGGAACAGAGCTTCAGATGAGCTGGCATCAGGGCTCAGCTTCTGCTGGTACCATTGTCATCGAATGGCATGTGGCATGCCCAGAGACAAGGCCTCCACTCCTATAGGGCCAGGGCAGGACAACAGGCCCCAGGCCCAAGCTCTGTGTGTTGTCGGGGCCAGGGCACCTCAGGAGCAGCAAGGACTGCCAATGCCAACCTCCAAAGACAGCAGAGCCACCAAGTACAACAGGGAAGGGAACTCTGGCCAAACTAGCCAAGACCAGGGTTTTTCTTTAAGGATGAGGGGTTTCCCCTTTCTCCTTTATACCTTCTTGTACATTTGAATCTTCATTTTGTTGCCATAAACATGCGTTACTCATATGAATAGAGAAACAAACTGAACAATAAGTTAAATTAACTAACAATGCTTCTACAGAGTACTCCCTGAAAGAAATCCTCCCGTTTAAATGATTATCAGAACCTGCCTGTGAAGGAGATAGGCAGTGTTAATGAAGCCTCACAGATGAAGAAACAAGAATTGGTTGGACTTAGGCCTTTTTTTGGGATACACCCAAGTAGTTGGTGGTAGGATTGATACTTGAACTTAAAAGTTCTGACTTCTAAGAAATATTTAATTTTTCATTTTTGAACGATCAAAACAACAAATCGTGAAGTGTGTTTTCCTCCCAGAACAATTATGTACCTTCCATTCTTTCTTAATCACATATATATATATATTCTAGTACAGCAATTGGTTGGGCTCTTTTGGATTGTAGTTTATCCTTTAGATCTGTTGACTGGGGATTTTTGTTTGTTTTTATTTGGGTGACTTGAGTAAATCAGGTTACTAGACATACAGTAAAAATCTGCACCTTTTTCGTGTAAGGGTTTATGAGTTCCCACAAGCACATGTGGTCACACAACCACCTCCGCGGCTGAGAGACAGAACACTTCTAACACCCCCAGATTTCTCCTCAAGCCACTTCATAATCAACCTCTGTCCCCATGCACAGCCTGGCACCCGTGGGCCTGAGTGCGGCAGCTAAACCTGCACCTCTTCCAGAGTGTCATTAACAGACTGCTGTGCCGTGCAGCCTTCTGTGCCAGGCCCCTCACTCGTCACAATACCTGTGAGGCTCACCACTGCAGTCTCATCTGTCTGCGCTTCACTCCTGGCTGTTGCTGGGACATCTCACATGGGGTGGATGCCCACTCCCTACACAAAGCACATTTCCGTGGCTGCCAGTTGTGGTGACTGTCAAACACTTGCACACAGACTTTTGTGTGAATGTTGGTTTTCATTTCTATTGGGTAAATACCAAGAGTGGAATAGCAGGATCACATGGGAAGAGTATATTAGTTTTATAAGCAGCCGCCAAACTGTGTCTTGAAGC